CATTTTTCCTTCCACTTAAATTCAAGAGTTTTTTCTTTTTTTCGTTAGTTATCGCTCTCATTTTTATAACTCGTCAGTCACGTTTTTACAACAGAAAAAGCAAAGTAAAGTCGCAATAGGATGTGGGTGTGGGTGAAGATAGAAGAAACACCCATACCCACACTCACACCCACACCCACCCTCACACCCACACCCACACTCACACCCCACACCCACACCCACGTCCACATCCATCCACATCCACACCCACACCCACCAATACCTACACCCGCACCCTTAGTGACACCCACATCCTCACTCACATACCCACATCACACCCCCACCCTCACCCACACACTCACTCACCCACACACTCACTCACCCACACCCACACCCGTTTGCATAATCACACTCAGATACACTCGCAACTGATTGCCATTCGAAAAATCACGACAAGAAGTGCCCGCCATCTAGTGCACTATTTGTTTGCCTTTGGCTGTTCTTCACTTGAATAAAATTCAAGGAGACGAAGGTGCACAGAACACTGTTATTGAAAAGGTTTTCTTCATATCAATTTGGTGTAACGAATCGAGTACTTTCTTTTTTATGCTGTTGAAAATTTGCAGAAAATGGTCGACGGTATTCTGTTGGATTACATCAGCCAGTACGATTGGAATTCCACATCTTCATGTTTGATGTGTTTCTATGGATCCGACTGCCAACTTACTACATCGTACTATAATATTTTGTTAGAAGGTCTCTTGTATGTTTCTGTCAAGCCATTAACAATGATTATAGGTGTCGTGTTTTGTCTTCTTATCGGAACAATATGCAACACTTTGTCGATCATCACATTCTGTCAAGAAGAAACACGTGAAATAGGGAATGGTATATATCGATTATGGATCTCTATAATAGGAGAAATAGGTATAATGACACTAGGCATTCGTTTACTTTTTATTTTTATCACGCAAAGTAGCCAACCAGTCACTTGTTTCGGCGTAGATTATCTCATTTCGCTTTTCGTTTCACTTTATTATTCATTAACGGCATGCGTATCTGTTGAACACGCAGTAGTTATCTACATGAACTTATCATTCAATAAAGAGCGAAGTCGAAATATTGCCAAAACTATTATTCCAATATTGCTCTTCTATCATGCTGGAGTGGCGATTCATGAACTTTTCTTACGTCGTTTGCTTCCTAATCATCAATTCTCGAATCATATGTTATGTTCACTAGATCAGAACAACAATATTCTTCGTATCTATGCGAAGATAACTAATGCTGCTCATCTTCTTTTTCCATACATCATCAATTTACTCACACCCATTTTAATGCTTATTATATTAACAAGACACAAGAGAACAGTGAGTACAAATGCGACGAGATGGTCTAATTTCAAAAATGTTTTAAGTGTATACAGACACAATTTCTTTACTCCTTATATTATCGTCCTTTTGATGACGCCGCGCATTATTGTTACATTTTCTCTTACATGCATCACATATTCATGGCAGAACACCGTATATCTTGCTGCTTACTTCCTATCAATAGTGCCAATGATGGCATCCGTTTTCATTTTTGTCATTCCAGCATATCGCTTTAGACAAAAACTTCGACAAATCTTTTAACGTGCTACTAGATATGTGTCTATCAGACAAAACACATAACTATCTTATTATTCTATCATTCGTATGTTATCTCACTTTTGCGTGTGGCAGTTACAGAAAGTTCGAGACGGCGCAAACACTATTGTCTTGTTTTCAAATTCGAGCTCTTTCCTCTCTCTTATACTGTGAATGCTCAGTTAAATAGGTGAATCAACTTTTTTCATGTTAAGACTGATAACATATGTGCTACTGTCAAGCTTAATATATTGAAACTATTTGTGTGTGGGTGTGGGCTGGGTGTAGGTGTGGGTGTGGCTGATATGGGTGTGTCAAGGACGATAATATCGCCGAACCCACACCTCACATCCACACCCACACACCCATACGCACACCCACCCACACCTACACCTACACGCCACACCCACTCACATCCACACCCACACCATTCACACCCCACACTCACACCCACATCCCACCCACACCCACACCCACACCCACACCCACACCCACACCCGCATACCACGATTGTATTTATCCGCCAGCCATGAAAATCTAGTAAAGAATTTAAAAATGCAAGCAGAATTTAAGCAGAATTCTGTTACAACTAACAGAATACAAAGTTTCAATAGACATACGACGAGTGTATATATCCACAAGGAATAAACTTTGTGAGAAGAATATAAAAATACAAGTAGAATTTAAGCAGAATCTTGCGACAAGTAACATAATACAAAGTTTCACTAGTCATACGAGGAGTGTATATATCCTCCAGAAATAAACTTCTAGTAAAGAATTTCAAAATACAAGCAGAATTTAAACAGAATCCTGGTATCATAAGCAGAATACAAACTTTCAATAAGCATACCAGAAGCTACACATCGATCAGGAAAAAATTTCTAGTAAAGAATTGAAAAAATCCTAGCAGAATGTAAAACGGAATTCTAATATCGGTAAAAAATAGATCAATTCACTAAGATAAATTCCCAATAGCAAATAAACTACTAAGTACCACACTAACCCGTCAGGAAGTATTCTACAGAATTCTGACTACAATAGAAATAGACCAAAATGGAATATATAGTGTTTGATAACATAAAAATATATAAAATTCTGTAGAACTCTAAGCCTAATTTAAATGGATCAGAATGGGATATGTTGTCTTCGATGACACAATTCCACAGAATTCTAAGCAGAATGCTATTACCACGAAAGAATATAAACTTTGAATAGCCATACTATTATGTTATATGTCCAAGGGAAAAATAAAATTTTGATGAAGATTCTAAAAACATCGGCAGAATTTTAAAACAGAATGCTGTTATCACTAACAGAATATCAATTTTCAATAGCTATCCTTGAATTCAGTGGCATATCTGCAATAGAAAAAAACATCCTTCTGAAGAATTTTAAAATATTGGGAGAATTTGAAACAGAATGCTGTTACAACTATCAACATATAAGTTTTCAATAGGTATACTAGAATGGTATATCTCAAGTAGAAGAGAAAAACTCTTATGAAGCATTTAAAAATATCAGAAGAATTTAAAGCAGAGCTGTGGTACCACTCAGACAATATAATCTTTCAATAGACATACTAGAATGGTATAGCTCGTAGAGAGAGAAAAAATTCTAATGAAGAATGTAAAAACATAAGGAAAATATAAAACACAATTCTGATACGAGTAACAGAATATAAACTTGCAGTATGATTACTAGAATTCTACATCTCCTGGTGAGGAAAGAACATTGTTTTTCATAGCACAGAGTTCTACAGAATTCTCAGCAAAATTTGAACAGACTGGAACGAAAGACGTCATCTCTGATAATACAGAATTCTACAAAATTCTAAGCAGAAGTCAAACAGACAAGAAATGAATATGCTGTCTTTAGTGACACATAATTCTACATAATTCTAAGCAGAATTCAAACAGACAAGAGAAGAATGCGCTGTCCTTAGTGACATATAATTCTACAGAATTCTGTTTTCGATAATACAGAATTCTCAGCAGAATTTAAACAGACTGAAATGGGAGACGTCATCTCTGATGATACAGAATTCTACAAAATTCTAGGCAGAATTCAAACAAACAAGAAATAAATAGGCTGTCTTTGGTGGTACATTATTCTACAGAATTCTACAAAATTCTAAGCAGAAATCAAACAGACCAGAAAAGAATATTATAATAAATCGTTAAAAAAATATATAAGTCCACAAAATTCTGAATTCTGCTTGGTAGGCATTCTGCCATTGCTGGGGTGTGCGTGTGAGTGTGGATGTGGACGTGGGTGGCTGGGTGTGGGGGTGGTTGGGGCTGTGGGGGTGGGTGTTTGTGAGTGTTGGGTGTGGGGGTGGGGGTGGGGGTATGAGTTTGGATGTGTGGGTATCGGCAACGGTTTAGGTGCCCTAGTACACCACACCTACACCCCACGCACACCCACCCCTCACACCGACACACACCCACACCGACAGCTCACACCGGCACACACCCACACCCACCCTCCACACCCAGACACACCCACACATACTCGCACCCCGCATTCGCACACAGCCGCACCCACATTCCACACCCACACCCACACCCACCCACACCAACATCCACACGCACACCCTAGCCACACCAACACCCGCACCCACCGCATCCACACCCACGGCCACAGTCGTAGCCACAGCAGACTTGCCACCTTTTCTGCTTTTAGCAGAAAAATTCTGCTTTTCGAAGGTCTTTCTGCTTTTTTTCTGTTATTTCTGCTTTTTTAATCTTTTTCTGCTTTTTCTGAGTTTTTGTCTATTATATTTTTAACCGAAATTTTTGATATTATAATATATAATTTTTTTTCAGAAATGTCAAGGAAAATGTTTGTTAATATATGATGATGTTTTTATCTTTTCCTTATTCTATTATAAGCATAATTCTTGTTTTTTCATTGTGTTCCGATAATCGCACTCATCCGCCCTACCTCTCTTTATCGATCATTATTTCTTTATCATATTCTACCTCCCTTTCATTCGTCAGCACTCATATCTCTCCTTTTTGTGCCCTTGTATATAATGATGTCATCTCACTGTATAGCCATTCCCAGACTAGTCCATTCTTTTGTCAAAAGTGTACTATTCTTTTGTTAAAGGTATATATTTCTCTCTCTTGTGACCGATATATATAAAGAATGAATATTGATTAAATAAAGTAGAGTGGAAAATAACATAACACAATATACGTTTGTTGTTACACGCTGGTTTTGAAAAACTGCTAATCTATATTCTTCGTTTTCTGGTACGTTCTTTACCTATATATTTTTTCTAATATATTTTTCTGTTGGTCATCTACAATTCGTAAAGCCATTATCTACTACACTCTTCGAATGTTTATTTAGTGAAATTAATATTATTAGCTTTACGAAGCAGAAAAAATGAATGAAGATGATCATGATATTATTATTGGTGAAGAAGAAGATCCTGATGTATTAGTACCAGATGAAGCATTACGAATGCCACCAGAGGATAAATCAATAAAAAAATTGAAAAAAGGTGTTTTTAACAAAGAATGGTTAAATTTGATTGAATATCAACCATTTTTAAAAGAATATAAACCTGATCCATCTCAAGCCACATGCATCGTTTGTAATCAGCAATTTTCACTGTATTATCGTGGTAAAAGTGATATCGATAACCACATGAAAACGAAAAAGCACCAAAATAATATGAAATCTTTTGATGTTAATCGACAATTAATAACAAAAACAATAAAGCCATCAAAAGAAAAAGATGAAGTTGCAGCTGCTGAAGGTGTTTTGGTTTATCATGGAGTTAAACATGGACATTCATATTTAGCACAGCAATGCACGACCAATGTTTGTAAAGCAATATTTTCGTCCTCATCAATAGCAAATAATTTGTCATCTGCTCGAACTAAATCAACATGTATTGCTCTAAATGTATTAGCGCCATGTTTTACATATACTTTACTTGATGATTTAAAACAATCATATTATTATTCTTTGATGTATGATGCTAGTAACAAAGGAAATATGAAAGTATATCCGTTTTGTGTTCAATTTTTATCTACAACAGGTGTAAAAAAAGGTATATTTTTCAGCTAACTTAATTTATTCTTCATTTACATCTTTTTACTCTTTCAGGAATTATAGATTTAATAGATGATGCTGAAGAAACAGCACTTAAAATTTTTTCAAATGCACGTAAATTAATTATAGATAATGATTTGGATATTAATGGATTATCAGCACTCGGTGCTGATAATACGAATGTCAACGTTGGTGAAAATCATTCTGTTTTTTCTTTATTTAATGATGAATTTCCTGATCTCATCAAAGGTAAAATAAACGTAGTTAAAAGAATATGAGTTTTTGTTATTTTTCATCTTGGTTTTTCAAAATTTTGCAAGATTAATCATTAGCATCTGCGTAGACGTGACACGGAGTATAGTTCAAACTGAGTTCTAAAGAAATAACTCAATACTACAGAGATCCTATATTTTTTTTTCAAAAAGACGAACACCTTTTTTTTTTGAAAAGAGCGTCACATTTATTTTCACGTTTTATACCTATAGGAAATTGCTATTGTCATATACTTCACAATTCTGTTAAACATACTCATTGTCTATTACCTATTAATGTCGAACAAATATTACTTACGATATATGCATATTTTTCTCGGTCTGCAAAACGTATTAATGAATTGAAGAAATACTATGAGTTCTACGAACAAGATTTCAAGGTAAAAATATTTTTCAATTATTGATTTTTCTCATTTACAAGTCTAATTTATAATATTCTGTTTTCTCTCATTGTAGGTGATCTTGAAGCATATTAAAATCAGATGGTTAAGCTTATACTTTTCCAAAGAGCGTTTAGTACACGTATGGTTACCTATTAAAAAATATTTTCTTGAACAGCATGATAATTGTCCATTGGAATTAAAAAAGTTCTTCGAACTTGATGAAGCTACATGTATACTGAGTTTTTTGCAACACGTTTTGTTCGAACTTCATAAAAAAAATCTTGAATTACAACGTAATTACACAACAGCTGTTGATTTATTCAGAATCATCACATCCATTAAAACTAAATTACAAGAACGAATTGATTCAGAATTTTTTGGTGCTGCATGTCGATATAAATTAATGCGTTTACCAATTGATACACAAAATAGATTAAAATCATCATTTATTAAATTTTTGAGTGCAATTATTGCTTATATTGATTCTTATTTTGATAAAAATATTACTTTTTATCAAACAATTAGCTATTTTGGTCAAGAAAATATCGAAGGTTTAACATGGCATCAGGTTATTCAATGCGTTGAGATGATAAAATTAAAAAGTTTAGATGAAGATCGATTGTTCGATGAATTTACAAATGTAAAATCTGTATTTAAAACACTTTTAGATCAACCTGTTTCATTATTTGACCAAGTTCAAGCTTTCATAAGAAAACAAAACGATATATCAAAAATAAATAATTGTGTTGATGAAAAAGAAGATGATGATGATGATCACTTAACAACGAACAAAATAGTTAGATCTGATCAGTTATGGATGTTTTTATTTTCAATTACAGAATCGCCAAATTTTAAAAAACTCATATGTTTTTTGTATTCATTACCATGTAGTAATGCTTTCGTGGAATCTGTATTCTCACAAATGAAACATTTGTTAAATGACAGAAGAAAACGTATGACAAATGAATTGGTTTCAGCTGAATTAAAAATACGTTTCAACTCGACCTTATCATGTACTGAGATGTATAAATATATTTTATGCAATCAAGATTTGTTAAAAGCTATTAAGTCAGATGAAAAATACACATTCAAAAAAAAACGTATTCAATAATTCTATTTTTGTATTTAAGTAGTTTTTTCTCTTGATTTTGTACAATAAAGAATGGAAATTGTAATGAGCTATTCTCATTACTATATGAAGTCAAAGCCTAAAAGATTATTTGGTACAAGAAACATACTTTCTGCTTTTTTTCTGCTTTTTGACGATGAAAAATTCTGCCATTTTCTGCTTTTTATAGGTTATTTTCTGCTTTTCCATCATCAAAAGGTGGCAAGTCTGAGCCACAGCCACACCCCACACCCACACCCGACTTATAATTGGATTTTAATTATGAAATTTTTTACTGCAATATTTTTGTTCTCGTTTAAAGGTTCAGTGTCAACACTATGGGTCGAATAAGCTACCGAAGCAAACGAAATCGAATGAGCTGTTAGACTGTGTCTTTGAAACTATACGTAAAATTTTTCTTTTTTGTAACATATTTTGATGCGATTTACGTACGTGTTTTTGTATTTCACTGATAGCATCGTTCTCTTGTGTAATTTATAGATATGGTAATATTCACTTAAGGCTTCTCATTATTATTTGTATTCGTCGGTTTCACATGCATATGCGCAAATCAAGAATCATTCAATAATTTGCAACGTAGCGCACGCGAGCGAACGTAAGACGAAAGAAAGAAAAACAAAGGTATTGCGAGGCATTTTGACGTCGGTATCAACAGAAAATTTTCATATAAAAATGAAAACAGTGAGTGTCTCATCTAAATTGCAAATGAAGAGCTCATTTTCTGGTAATATTGTAATTTTTTCTTCTTAGAGTAGATTGTGATTGAAGAGGCAAAATAAGAAATGACGCCATCGTCTCTAAGTGAAACAATCAAAGATCTCTGTTAGTTCTACCAAACACGAGCTGATATTTTTTACGACTCTTAAAGACATGTGCACAGTTCATATCCGCAAAGACAAGGCTAGAGAGAACCTTTTTAAATGTCACCATCGATTGCAACCAAGAATTTTATACTTTTTCACATATAGAAAAAAAACAATCCCATCGTAAACTTGTGATGTATATCTGCAGTGATCATAATAAAATTAGGCAGATTTATTATATTGTGGTAGTGCATAAAAGCCACTTCAGTAATCACTTTTTTGAATGCAACTGTCAAAACTTCGTTCCTTTTGATGGTAGAACGAACATGAAGATACTATTCCACCAAGTTTTATATATACATTCTCTTTTTGATAGCGATAGTGTCATTAATAAATTATATGGCGCTAGTACACTTCGTCGCATATAAAGAATAAAATGTATTAATTGAATTAACTGATATCGTTCAGTATGTTATTTAATTAATCGTATAAATGTATACTCCACTATACAACAATGAAGCCTATATGATGAATAGAAAATATACTTCAAGAAAAAAATAATTTAGCTCTTGGAAAAGTTGGGTAAAAGGTCTTCAACTAAAGTAATTACAAACGATCTGCTATTAAATGAGAATCAACTGAAGTCTCTTACGGAAACGGCTTCTATGGAAATTTTGTTCTAAGAAAGACTAAGCAGAAATGAAGTTGAAATTCTCTTTTCTTATGTGTATTCTTTGTTCATTTTTTTCCGATATAATTTCCTGTGATTTGCAAAGCTGCCAGATCAATGAGTGAAGCGGTTTTGAAAATTTTCGAAACGAGTTCTGGATTTTCGATGCTGCCGATGTTAAAAAAAAATCTTATTACATTTTAAAATATTCGAGTATCCTTTGTATATGATTTTTTAGAGGTAAACATTTGATTTTAAGTAAATTATTAAATTGAGAAATTAATTTCTTTCCATTTTTAATTGAAAAAATTTGAATTATTTTAAGCTGAAAAGTTTGATTTAAAAAAATTATATATTTTAAGATGAAAGTTTTGCTTTGAAAAAGTTTGTTTATTTTACAATAAAAATTTTAGTTTTGATTAAATTTTAAATATAAATTTACTAAGTTTTATTTTCAGTAAAACTTTTGTGGATTAATTTAAATTTAAAATAAGCTGTGTATCAACATCTTCTCTATTGAAAAAGGTTGTAATATCAGGAAAGAGATCTGATACGATAAATAGAAACATTTTTTAAGCTGATTAATGAAATGACATGGTAGACTAAGTCGCTTAATTCAATTAACGTACCTTAATCTTTATATGCGACGAAATGATCGCGACGACATATCGTGCAACGAAGTGATCAGTCACCAAATTATATGTTAGGTACATGTACAACGAAGACAGAAATTGCTGATTTTTTTTCATGGAATTAATGATTGAGAGTGGTGATTTATCTCAAATTAGCTTAAAACAGCATAGTTATTGTTTTCGACGCTCGATAATAAAAGATATGGTTAAGATGGCAATTCTTTAATAGTCACGTGAACTTTAATCTCAAATTGTAGTCAAGAGTTCAAACTATATATTCATGAAAGAATGTTTTCAAGAGAAAGTATAGATTTTTAAAAGTTCGATTTCATTTTGTTTTAGATAAAAATAGCTGGCACCGCCAATTCGCTCCAATAGTGCCATCACCAAGGAAGAAGCAGCAGACTTCAAGACTTCAGCAACAGATACTTTAAATTTTTGGAGAGATTTCAAACAAGTTCATGGAAATTCATGAGACTTCCAAGGCTTCATGACTGAAATTTTCGTTGTTTTCCCCTTGGCCAGCATGTTTGCTGATATGCCTCAGCCGGAATAATCGGCGAAACAGTTAGACTCGAAGAAAAATCATGACCAAATTATCAGTTTTCAATACTTTACGAACCGGCTAAATAGTCTTATGGGAAAATATTTACTCTAGCAGATTGGTATGACAAGTTTTTCGATAAGATAACACAGAAATATTCAAAGTTTGCGAGACAAAAGTTCACAAACGTGTGCGAATTTCCCTTGATTGATGCTAGAAAATAAAATTCTGCATCTGTCGCTAACTTGTTTTGGGAGTGGTATATATCAGTGAACGATTGTTAAGCAAAAGAAAGCGAATTCTTTACTAGCTTTCCCTCCTCAAACAAATCATAATTAGTTCTTTGCCTTTTTTTTCATTGTTGCCGCTATTGTCTAATAGAAAAAGAGAATTCAACCAATATCTATTTACATATAAATATTTTTTTACTTAAGTTCTGATTCTTTTCAATAGAGTGCATAGAAACGATCTTGATAAAAAATAAGGCTTCACAAAGATGTAATGATTCATTTTTTTTAATAACATACTCAAAATAAGCTGAAATAGAAGTTATTTTATTGTGATTCAGAACTTCTCTACCATGCAAGAAAGAAACAGCGCTGAAAGTATTCTTATGAAAAACTTTCTGATACAGCCAGAACCAGACAGTTTAAATTTTAATTCTCACGCATTCATGTCATCGTCTCACGCAAGTGTTACTTCACCCAATGGTCCAAAATTAGACATGCGCTTCAGCCAATGGGACGCATGGTCATGGCAAGCTGAGTGCTTCAAATCGCCAAGTCCTCAACTGGCAAAACCTGCTTGGTCAACAACAGATGAACTCACGATAGAAAATCCTGACAAATCATTTTCTCATTGCAAGTAATTGAATCTGCTATTTAAATTTAGTCAGCGTTAAGTTGTTTGATCAGAGTTATCATTTTCCCATTAATTCCGTTTGAACTTTAATTCTTTATAACTTAATCTATATATTTGATATTTCTACAGTAAATGGAGACTGTCGCTTTTCTTTCTGAGATTCATTTTTGTACTCCAATTTCACATCTATAACAACAATATTGCTCTTGAATACGATGTAATACACTTTATGTAACAGATATTTTGGCAACTTTTTGGCAGCTCACAAAGCATTTCTGATTGGTTTGACTATTGGCGCATTATTAGCTGCAGTAGGTTTAGCAACTGTTACTACAATGTGGTTGAATTTGAACTGTACGACGGCGACAACAATATCAAATAGTGATACAAGTAAGTGTAGGTGATAAATGAATACGGATTCAACAATCTTCTCATAACATATTCTGTTGTGATAAAGATTTCAGCCATCCCAGAACGAGCATTACGGCGATCAGAAATGGCCGTACATGACCGTTTACGGCGGCTTATACAGCCGTATCGTCGTCATATTTCGTGGGACCGTATTATGGCCGTATTTCGCCGATCTTATCAGGACGAACGTTCTCTCATATTATAACGACAACACATCGGCATGCTCGCGTAAATCCTAGGGTTATCAAGGACGCCCTATTGATTCCTGGGTATAAGTATGGGACCTCACCCCGCACCACACTGAGAAATAGAATCCCAATGCTTCATCGGTCCATTTACTGGACCAATAAGATTTCAAGAGGACTTTTCTCTCTTATTATAAGGACAACATATAGGCATGTTCGGGCCGAACCTATGGTTATCGAGGATTCTCTATCGATTGAGGGGTATATGTATGGATCTCCACCTTGCGGAACAGCAAGAAGTGAAATGTGATCGAGCTGCTAGGCAGGAGAGTGAAAAGTAGTTACCCAACGTCGAAGTTGATAGGATGGGAAAAGGTGAATCAATTTGGTGCTGATACTTATGTATATGAGTGTTGCACCAAACAAAACGGTGAATGAAGAAGGAGCTTCTGTTTTCTGATTGGCCCATTTCGACCAATCAGATTTCAGGTGGACTTTTCTCTCTTGTTATAAGGACAACATATTGGCATGTTCGGCCCGATCCTAAGGTTATCCAGGATTCTCTATCCATTGAGGGGTATATGTATGGGTCTACTCCTATCCCTTCATAGAGATATAGAAATCGGAGCTCTGATTGGTCGGTTAAAATGGTCCAATGAGATTTCAAGAGGACTTTTCTGCCTTATAATACACACATGTGGTAATCATGTTCGGGCCGATCTTAGGGTTGTTGGGGATACTCTATCCATTGATGGGTATAAGTATGGGCCCCCTCATATCCCTTCATGGAAATACAGCAATGCGGGCTTTGATTGGTCCTTTAACAGGGGCGTCTTACGAGATTTTATAATACTGGCGTATACAGCCGTCGCGTTG